AAACACCTGCATCAGCTTGCCTTCCCAACGGCCCTGCCAGCCCTGTGCTCCAGCCACCTTCACATGTTGTTCCTCTAATTCCCAAGGCAGCTCCCCCAGGGGTTATGCTATAGCCCATTTTACAGGTGGGAAGACTGAGTCGGGCAGTTGCGTGAGCCTTGTCTTCCTCCCAAGGCTGAGCCACCCAGGGAAGGTGCCACCCACAGTGTCACAGGGCGGGAGTCCTGCCTCCCGAGCTCTGGGAGGCCAGGCCGAACCAGAGAGCAGGACTCCTCATCGAGCTTCCTCTCCATGCTGGAAGCACCTCCCCAGCCAGGAAGCGAGGTCCCATCAGGTGCAGGAGCTCAGGGGGAAGGCTCTGTGCCCTGCGCACTCTGACGGGCTGCGGCCTCCATGGCACACCTGTGGTCACTGGAGGAGAGGGCTGTCCATTGGACCAAAGCCTGGCGTGGGCGCCCGGCCTGTCTCCTGGCTGCCATCCGCTGAGGTTCACGCATGCGCCCTTACCTGTCTGCCCGCTGCCCATTTGCCCAGACCCAGCAGAGCTGGACCCCAGCCTCACCCCCGAGATGGACCTCCAGGCGCAGCGCCCTCCTACCCCAGCAACGGGCCGGGCGAGGGAGCAGCCCCACGCAGGCTGCGTGCCGCTCACTCCTGCGAGCCATCAGGCCAGAGAGGGAAGGGACAGCCCTTCGAGGACGGGCGGCTCCTGTCCCCAGCTCGGCTGGGCCACGCAGGCTGTGGGGTCCGTGCGCTCACAGGGCCAGCCCGCTGCCCGTGTCCTCTGCTCTCTGATGCTGCTGAGATAGCGGCCTGGCTGGGCAATTTGCAGGGCCTTCTGGGAGGGCATTAGCATATAAATAGCCGCCGGATGACGGCCATCACAGCTGAGCACGTTTAATTTTTAGTTTATAAGATAGAATGGGGTTTTAAATGCATAGCCATCAAGGCTGAGAGACAAATGCAGGTGGGAGCTCACTTGTCTGACGAGGCCTTACATCATTTTTTTTTTAAAAGGGAAACACACATAAACTGAACAGAAGTGATTTCTTGGGTGAAAAGTAATTGAGATTGCGCACCAAGTTAATTAGATCGCACAGAATTTATTTAATGGTCCCAGCTGTATCTCGGGCGGGCCTGGTGGGCGGGCTGCCCTGGCGCGAGGCGCGCTTCCCATCCCCTCTCCAGTAATTAGTAACCTCGCTACCTCACTTCTGCGAACTGATTGCATTGTATATTTTAGCCGTTTTATTGCTTGTTTAATTATGATTGTGGAGGCTCATTTTTCTAGATCCTTTTAACTGTGGGTGAAGAATCCGTTCGTATAGAACCAGCGAGGCCATGGCCTCCTCCAGGCCTCCCTGGCCGCGGGCGGGCTGTTCGTCTGAGAGCTTCGAAAAGCCCAGGAGGAGTCCGGTGGCCGCAGGACTGACCACCTGCCGGACCCTCACCTGTTAGGGGTGAGCACGTGGCCGGCATGACCTTCACGAGTCCCAGACGAGGAGCCAGGTCAGGTCGAGATCTGAAGCTGCTCCAGGGACACTGACAAGAAAAGCCCAATGGCCTGCCTTCAGCTGAGGCCACCTCAGGGCGTGACCTCCTCCCAGAGTCCTCGGGCATCCTGGCCCCTGCCCTGCCCCCAGCGCCTCCCCCACCCCCTCTCAGTGCAGGCTTCTGACCCCATCCGTGACCTTTGACCACGTGGGGAGGTTGTTGCTGCTGCCTTGAACCGCGGGGCTGGCCCCAGGAGCTCAGGTGCAGGCCTCCGTGGCCAGCTGTGCTGGGTCCAGGGTCGTGGGAGGAGTGGCAGCCTGGGGGGCGGTGCTTCTTGGAACAGGTGCTTGGTGGGAGGCCCACGGGCAGGCCACGCACGTGGAGGCCACGGAGGGCGGGGCAGCAGTGCCTTCCCCACCTGCCTGGGCGCACAGTTGCCTGGAGCCCGGTGCAGACTCCCTGGGCCTGTTGAGCTCCCCTGGGACCTGACACGGCGGTGGGAGCTGTCGAGCTGAGGGTGGTGTTGGCCGGAGGCTGCTCTCGGCTGCAGTGAGCTGTGACCCAGCGCTGAGGGTGGCCCTGCTGGCACCTCCGGAGGCAGTTCTCACAGGCCCAGCCGCCTGCGCTTGCAGAGGCCCTCGCCCCAGCCTGTCCCGGACTCGGGAGCGGAGGCCACGCTCCGTGTTTAAGGAGTGGAGTGAAGGTGTGTGTTCCTGCTAGTTAGCTCAGCAGCTGGATATGTTTTAGAAAGTGAAAATTTAACACAAGTCCCTGGTGAAATTCGAGGGTGGGAGCAATAAGCACAATCTTTTATGAAAATGACCCCCATATTTAAAACGTGGCATCTGCGTTCTGCATTGTAGCACCCGGTCGGTCCACATCTACCTTTTAGGAAATTAAAACACATAAATTCTGTTTAGTGTTGGGTGCGCACTGTGAGGCCGGGAGCCGTCATGCCCGCGAACCTTGGGCTGCTTTCCCTTTCATAAATTCCGGGGAGATTCTATACAAAAATAATTTTCAGGTCCGCGGCTCATTGTTATTCAAACGTGATTGATTGTCGTCATTTGCTCAGCTCGGGAGTTAAGTGCCCCTGTCATTTCCAAAGAGTATAATTGGGACGTTTCACAGGTCAGCGGCGGAGACAGGCTTCCCTTTGATCAGTGTTAGGCTGATAACAGAAATTGCCGTCCCAGTGATGGATGTCCCCGCACTCCAGGCAGGGCTGCCGGAACCCAAACCAAGTGCATTTGCATCTGATTATGCCTCTGGGCTGCGGAACCAGGTACCGCCTGCAGCCCAGGGTGCCTCGGCCTGGACTTGGCCGTGGGGCCACGCGCCGCCCCCTGTGGCCAGTGTTGTGTCGGGGCCTGTGTCCGATGGTCCAGATGGGCCTGTACCTGCGTTTGCCTCTGAGCCTGACCAGCCCGTCGCTGGTGCTCATGGGACAGGGTCTGTCTCCTTCCTGCTGCCTTTCCTCAGGGGGCCTGGCCCGAAGGCACAGGGGGGGCCGTGGGTGGGGTTTCTGGGCGCCCTCTCAGGAAGGATGTCTGAGGGGCGTGGCTCCCCTGGGATGGGGGCTGAGCAGTCCTGGGCTTCGTAAGGTTCTGGCCAGGACGCCTGCCCCCAGTGTGCGTGGCCCTGCATGTTGATTGGCGTGTGCGTGGCCCTGGTCCCCCGTGTGGGAGCGCCTCTAGGAGGACCCGCCCTTCGTGCGCAGGGCCTGCTGCTCCCACTGAGCCGCAGAGGGCGAGGACCCATCACACTGACCTGGGCGGGGCCTCGCGTCCAAAGGAAACTTCCTGTGGTGGCTTTTAGCATCGTTGTTAAGGACAGAATGTTCCAGAAGTGCTGTGGTCACAGCAGCACCCGAGGCCCCAGTGAGGAGCTGGCCCAGAACAGGGCGTGGTGCTGTGGCCGAGCTGAGCTGAGCTGGGCTGTCACCGCCCTGGGCCTTGCCTTTGAGGGTGAGACCTGCTCTGTGGGGCTCCGAGGTGCCGGCAGGTTCGTGTTGGGGTTTGAACTGGGCACTGGGGGGGTGCACCGAGCTGGTGGTTTTAGGAGTGAGGGGGTGGGCTTGGAGACAGGTCAGTGAGTACAGCCACAACGCTGACCCCAGCTGGGGCCCCGGCACCTCCACCTCTGCCTGCTCCTCCCACTCAGCCTTGGGGTGTCCCACAGACAGCGGCCCTGGGAGACGAGGACGAGGACGAGGATGATGGCGACTTTGTGGAGGTCCCGGAGAAGGAGGGGTACGAGGCCTGTGTCCCTGAACACCTGTGGCCTGAGGATGGTGAGTGGCGGAGGGGCGTTGCATGGGGCCTCGGGGTGGGATCTGGGCGCTCGGCGCAAT